ACAAGTAAGTTCATGAATCATACCGTTATTTCTTATAAATTGGGAAAAGCTATGATTAACATATTCAGTACCATTATCTGTTCTTAGTCTCTTGAGTTTTTTACCAAACTGGGTCTCAATCATTTTATAAAATTGAAAGAACAGTTGTGGTACCTCAGACTTTTCACGCATTAAGTACACCCAAGTTACACGAGTGCAATCATCAATAAAAGAAACAAACCATCTATTTCCAGAACCATGAGGGACTTTAGAGGGACCCCAAACATCAGAATGAATAAGATCAAAAGGTTCAACACTCTTAGTAATACTAGAAGGAAAAGACACACGATGATGCTTAGCAAATTCACAAACATCACAATGAAAAGACTCAACAGATTTAGACAAAAACAATGACGGAAATAAAGATTTGAGTAAACTAAATGGAGGATGACCTAAGCGCTTATGATGAAGCCAAATCAAAGAATCAGCAGTTGATTGACCATGAGACATCAAGATGTGATTTGTTACTTTATTTGCAGGAGATTGTGACACCAGATAGTACAGCCCACCTTGCTCTTTAGCACTACCAATCGTCTTCCCCGTGGCGAGATCCTGAAAAACACAATGGGTAGGATAGAAGGTTACAGTACAATTCAAATCTTTTTAATTTTATGAATAGAAAGAAGATTCGTGGAGAGTTTAGGAACATGAAGAACATCCTTAAGATGTAAGGACTGCTGTAAGTTTATGTCACCAGATCCCGCAACTGATGTATGAGAGCCATCAGCTACGGCTATTGTATGAGTTCCAATGGTAGGATGATAAGAGGTAAAGGAGTCAGCACAACAAGCCATATGATCAGTAGCACCAGAATCAACAACCCAAGAATGTTTAAAATCATTACATGAAGAAAGGAAAGAATAAGTTTTGGAGCTCATACCAGTCATAGTCAAAGCACTAGTATCAGATGGCTTACTCATAGAATCAAGAATGGTTCGGAGCCGTTCCAACTCATCTGGACGAAATGCAGGTTGGGTCTTATTAGGTGTAGGAGTTATTTCAGAGGAAGTAAAATGCGCTTGACCACGCAACTTTGCCATCTTTTCTAAGACAGATTGCTTTTACAATAAGAACACCATCGATCATCTCTCTTAGGTCTAGAAGAGGTACCATCATAAAATTTTGAAAAAGAACTCCTTTGAGAAGAGGCCATACTGCACAGAAAATGGTCAAAGAAAAGCTCCAAGAAGCCAAAAAATCACAAATAAATACCAAACGATGTCCGATCAAAGAGAGGAGCACAGATCCAGAAAGAGGATGAAGGGAAGATCAAGATCGCGGTGGTCCGATCCGGAAAAATGATCTCACGCGCCGGTGAGATTGGCTGCACGTGGGCTTCACTCGCGGTTGAAGGGGCGGCGTGTGTGGGCGCGTGCGGTGGCCGTCCGGTCTGAAATTTCTGGAGCAACATCGTCCGGTGAGCGCGGTTCTTTCTGGGTCTGTTCGGAGTTGAAAAACCACCGGGAAAGGGTCCAATTGTGATGAACAGATGCTGTCTTGTGATGAAGAATAATGGAGACGATGAACAGTAACAGAGGGTCCAAGAGGTCCCCGGAAAAAAAATCCGGTGGCGGCTGATGGCAGCGAGAGACAAAAAGAATAAAAAGTTCTTGTTCTAAAGACAATAGGCGCGGAAGCAGAGCCCTCAGGATCGAGAGCTCTGATACCAACTTGAAATAAAAGGGTATTTGAAATATTATTAAATCGTATTTGAATCTGTACATAGGGGTCTCTATTTATAGAGACTTCTTGACCTAATTTTGACCTAATGGGCTTGGCCCAATATACAAGTAACGGACTAAATAAATACAAATAAATGACTACATAATTACTAATAAATGACTACATAATTACTTATTAATGACTACATAATTACTAATAAATGACTACATAATTACTAATAAATGACTACATAATTACTATTAGTTGCTCATTCAAAGCAAGGGATATTTATTTGTCAAAGGAAGTATGTTCTTGACCTCCTTAAAGAAGCAGGAAAACTTGGGTATAAACCTTCCAGTACTCCGATTGAGCAGAATAACAGACTGGGAAGTGAAAATGAGAGTTCTCCAGTTGACAAAGGACAATATCAACGAATAGTGGGCAGATTGATATATCTAACTCATACTAGATCTGATCTAACTTATGCAGTTAGTGTTGTTAGTCAATTTATGCATGATCCGAGGGAGAAACACTTGCGAGCTGTGGACAGGATTCTCCAATATCTGAAAGGCACACCAGGTAGAGGACTATTGTTCCAAAGAGGAGGAAACTTATCCTTAGAAGTTTATACAGACGCCGATTATGCTGGATCTGTGACTGACCGACGGTCTAATTCGGGCTATTCTATGTTTCTCTGTGGAAATCTTATAACATGGAGAAGTAAAAAGCAAAATGTGGTTGCTAGATCAAGTGCAGAAGCAGAATTACGAGCTATGGCTCAAGGTATCTGTGAGTTATTATGGCTGAAAATCATTCTAGATGATCTCAAGGTGAGATATGAAGGATTTATGAAGTTACTTTGTGATAACAAGTCAGCTATTTGTATAGCCCACAATCCAGTTCAACACGATCGAACCAAACATATTGAGATTGATCGCCACTTCATTAAAGAGAAATTAGACAGTGGACTGATCACTACTCCATATATTCCTTCTGGTCGTCAATTGGCTGATGTCTTAACCAAGGGTCTTCCTAATGATAGATTTCAAGAACTTACTACCAAGCTGGGAATGATAAATATCCATTCCTCAGCTTGAGGGGGAGTATTGTAAATAATAGAATTATTTTATTATTATTTTGTACTCTATAAGTGTATTTGGGCTTAGCCCATTAGGTTTTTTAGTCTCTTTAAATAGAGAACTCTTGTACAAATATTATACAATTCAATTATATACAAATCTTCTTTTCTAGTGATATTAATTGTTTCAAGAATTCCATTCAATCATCATCTCGAAAACATGGTACTGAAGAAGAGTCTTCTCTGTCATCACCATTGTTGTCAATCCTTGCTTAGGAAGTCGAAGGACAATGGCATCCTAGAGGAAATCATTATGCTTGGCGCATAAATGGGTATTCAAGAATGGCAATGTGATTTTGGTTGAGGTTATTATGCTTTATGTATAAGCTGCTCATTACATTTCAAACAATGGGACCATGGGGGAGACATTAATGGGTTCAAGGCTGATCTTCACCTTGAGGACATGGTGAATGTTTTGTTTTTTTTGTTGGGGAGGGGGGGGATATTGGTTAGGAGGACTTACAAAAGAAAGAGACGTAGGAGATCATTGCTCTCAATTTCAAATGCAGACTCGGCATATGTTAGTTAGGAGGGAATCTTTTGGTTAGAGTCACTTTCGGTGCATCAGCGAAGGCTGGTATTAAATAGGAAGAGAAGCATCATTTTGGGGACATATAGAACCTTGGTTGGAACCTTGGCTTGGGAGTAGAGTCTCCAATTGCTCTACGTTACCATTTCTTTTTTGTTGCTTGTAACTTCCTCAGTTCTGTTCAATCTGATATTACTTCAAATTCTTCCAATTCTCTGTACTGTGCTATTACTTCCAGTAATACAGACCTCACTTTCTCATTCAGATTCCTCTTGTGTTTTGTAATTTGTTGTTAGTGGTTGGTTCTTATCAAAGAGCCTAAACCCCTTATATGTTCATGGTCCTTTAATGGATCATGCTTCTTAGCTACTTATTACGCGGGGTTGGTTATATTTAGTGTATTTGTTTGTCTTTAACGGTATAGGAAATTAGGCATTACGTCAGCTAAATAGAGCTGCTTTGTTTGTCACAAATTCTCTAAATTTGATTTTCCTTTGTTTGTCACATTATATGCTATATTTTGGTGCTTTGGTTTGTGCGTAATTCTCGCATCATTAAGGAATTAAGGAGATTTCTTTGGATAAGCAGCTACTTTGGGATATATATATGGGTTTAGTGAGTATCAAGTGACTTGATGTAAATTAGGTCCAGGCGAGAATATAGTGCACAAAAAATTTTGCCTATGTTATCCCGGGAGAACACCTGCAGAACACCATTGTAATGTTTTCGCACTATATTCTCCCGCGAGAATATAGTCAAAATTCACTCACTGGACAGTCCAGTGACTGAATTTTGGATTTTTCATATGTATATATATATATATATATAATAACTCAAAAGAATTAAAATAGTGAATGAATATTTATTATAAATATTCATAATTTTTCTATAAATTTATTATTCTATTTCATTTTTTAATTAAATACTGAAAAAAATCAAAAAATAGAAAACGAAAATGACTATTTCTAATATTTCATTTATGTTATATACTTATATTATGAATAATAATTTTTACAATTTTGACTGTTTTATACTATCTATTAATTCGTATTATATTAATATAGATAGTTATTAATTTCTAATAAATACATATTTTTTTTATCATTTAAATGAATTATAGATATGAATTCTTATTCATATTATTAAATGAGTAAAACTAATAAAAAACGAATCAAATAATATAATATCAGACTCCTCGATAATCGTTCTTCAACTTGAAGTTATCCAGGGTTTAAAATCTTTTCAAGGCAATTGGCTTTGTAAAGCAGATGATCTTTATAAGGGAATTTCCCCTAGATATGTTAAAGGATGGGGTAGCAATAGCATTGCTCCATTGATGTTTTCTTCATTCTTTGTTGTTTGTATTTCATTTTATTTTAAGGAGGATCTCTTATCCTCCTAACTCCTTGTAATCAACTTCTCTTTGTCTTAATGAATTTCTTTTATCAAAAAGGTAATGGCAACAGGCTCCAAGACTTTAAAAGTGATGAACAAATTTCTGCTCATATAACAGAGGGATTACTTAAAGAGAAACAAGGTTCAATCTTGTATGTGATCAGTAGGTGCCAGAGTTATCAAAACAAAATGCAAAATTATAAAATATATAAACCCACACAATAAGCACACACTTACTTGATTCATTCCAAGATATTCTGATATTCGCAATGCAAGCAGATGTTGGTGAGCATTGATCAGGCGACCAATCAGAACAGATGGTGTAAGCAACTGATGGCAATAAGCTAGTTCAGTACAACATCAACATAGGCAATTTCAGCACTGAGATAGACAAGTAAGCCTTAAAAACCTTATATTGCTGAATGCTAAGAGGAATGCCAATCTCAAGGCTGCGCACTGCATTCAAGACCCGCAGAATTTTACACATCTCTTGGATACGATCACGTTGAAAATTGCTGCCAAAGTCAACTGGATATCATTACCGAGAGCAAATATCAGAAAATATGCTTGTCCCTTTTAAGAGCTTCACTACTGGAAACAGTGTAATTAAGACAACAAAACATTATATATAAGATTCCCATATGTATATCCAACAGAAAACCCAAATCAAGCTTACCTACAAAAGGCTTGCCCATAACTGGCTGCCCTTAAGAGAGTTCGTTGACGTGAAATGTCAAATTCATGACCTGCAGCATCAACACATGCTTCAACAGCCTCGGGAAGGGACGATCTTATCAATCTCAAATTTTCATCTGCCTGGGTAATGATAAAAAAAATCAGAAAGCCATCTACAAGTATGAACTGTTTGATGATGCCATAATTAGATTGCAAAGGAAGACCTGACACATCGACCAAAACCCACATAAAGCAAAGGTCATCTTTTTCTTGATTTTGATACCAAAAGTATGTCATAAAAAATGCAAAAAATGCTTGTTTGATTCATAATTTCTTTATTGCAGCACTAAATTAGAGAAATTACATCAACACAGATTCAGTTAGCCAAATTCACCTACATCGTCAATTACTGAAAATAAAAGCCACCATTATTTTCTTTCAAAAATAAGTCAAATAAAGGTATATTATGTCGTCAATAGAAAGCAATGCTCAACATGTCCAACACTAATGGATTTTACATACACTTTGATAAACAGAATCAATGTGGGGAGCTGTAAAAGTTTATGAATATTAACAATCAGTACACTGAATATTTAATTGATTTACTTACTTCAAAAATGAAATAAAATAAAAATCGTTTTGCAATGTTAACAGACCTGCAATATATAAAAATTGGACTACACATGCAATCTAGATTCTGTTGTATAAATATACAAATAAAATAGAATCACAGTGCTCAACAGAGCATAACATAACCTTGTTAATCTATATTACATAAGATAATTTAAATAAAGGCTACACCTAAATAATTAACTGTTGAGATATATAAAAACATTAATGGTTTTATATATCTCAACAACAACAAAATTAATTCCACTAGAAAGAAAGTGGGGGGCGGTGAGGTTCGAACCCGGTACACCGAGGCTCTAATACCATGTAAAGAACCAATTCAACCCAAAAGCTTAAGCTATTGGGTGAGGCTACATTAATGGTTTTATATATCTCAACACGTCCCCTCACACGAGAGCCCACTGGGCTTGAAGGGTGGACAATGCACAGGCCCACCTACCTGTGCTAAGAAATTCTACTAGAAAGAAAGTGGGGGGCGGTGAGGTTCAAACCCGGTACACCGAGGCTCTAATACCATGTAAAGAACCAATTAAACCTAAAAGCTTAAGCTATTGGGTGAGGCTACATTAATGGTTTTATATATCTCAATATTAACATACACAGATTCTTGGCAAGAAGTGGCCAATCAATGAATGACCCAAGGCCCAATTAGAAGCTTCTAACTATCAGAGAAAAGCACCACAAGCCTAATAGGAGAAGAAAAACCATAGTAGGATTTGTTGCTAGAGATACTAATTAAGTTCTTTTCTTAATTCTTCAAAATAATTTCACTAAGACAAAAAGAACAAAATAATTTGAAACTTATGCTCAATATAGTGGTTTCAGCCTACGGAGAATTACCGTGAAGCTCTGCAAACAAGTAAATTGAATTTCAAGGTCTTTGTTCTTCAAACACACTCACACACACTCTGAGGCCTTTCCCTACTCCATATCGTAAGTTGGTAAGCTCAAATTTGAAAGTATAGACAAATTCAGAGGTTATAAGTTGGCAAGAAGTGGATCTGAACATAAGCAATAACATACAATAACTAAAACATCAAAGCTCTGGACATACAAACTCTACATACAATCAAAACTTTAAAACAGACACTGAAAATGATGAAGTCAGTCATGCAACAGTAAAAGAACTGCAGGAATAAAGACCCTACCTTGGCACTACGCCTATCAAAGTGATCCAAGGCATCATATAGTAAAGCTGCAGGTGATGTACTTCCAATTGTGAAGATGGAAACTGTGGAATCAGGCACCCGTTGTAGAAATTCCATACTAGTGTTAGACAAAATCCTCACTCCATCACACTCAGGTATAAGAATTATTGGTTCATCATAAAGGTAGTGAACTGGATCTCCATCAGGACCCATCATTAAAAGCATATCATCCCAGTATAGCAGTACAGCATCCATTCCACACCAAGCAAGCTGCTCCGGAGGAAGAGCTGACTGCACTCATGAAAGCAATTACTGAGCTAAGGGCACCACATGAGCAGCTGATCAAACCCTAAAGTGAGATTTAAAGGATAAAAAAGGTGGGGGAATGGGAGGGGGGAATATGTATACAGACACTCATACATAACAAAGAGTATAAAGATCATAAACATTATGGATGCCTCATAAAAGATTAGATACACCCTTTTCGTGTTACTTAGGACATGGTGCCGGTAGCATATTAGAAGACTTAATGGCACATTCAAATTCAAATTTATGCTACACGCATACACACGCAAAATTCTTAAGCATTCAACTATCATAACTTTCTCATATCCCTCAAATTCTACACAAACTCACAGAAATATAATGAGTACTACATGCATCTCAACTTCAAAACAAACCCAAACAACCTTCCCACTCCCTTTTCTACCAACAAAAACTAATCCTCCAGTCTTCCTACATTTGAAAACTACAACATTTGCAATTGTTCAAATCACACAACATTCATAAATCACAACGCATTTCAATCCAACGCAACACAAAATCAATTTTCCACGATTTACCTCACACTCCCTCTCAATGATCACGCCGGTCAAGTCCGACGTGGTGACCAAAAGCCGGCCGTCATGCGTGAACGACGCGAGCCACTTGCCGTCCCGCGACACCACCATCTTCTGCAGCGGTCCCCGGAGCAACCCAACACCAAGCTGCTGCACTCCATCCTCCTCCACAGCAAGAACCACAGCATCCCCAACGCCAAGCAAGACCTCAACATTACCCGACAAGGTATACTGCGGCTCAATCACCGCCATACAATGCGGCGGCTCGTCGATGCCAGGGTCCGCGAGCTTAACCGACCTAGGGTTTTTGAAATCTGCAATGCAGAACAACTGATTCGATTCCGTTATGCACACCAATCCGTTGCTCCAGAAGGTGCAATCAGCGACGTTCTGTTCGAAACACTCGCTGCCGAGCGAGAGGTTAGGTTCCAGAAGCTGAGCGTGGACGTCGTATCGGTAGATGGTGCCGTCCTGGACGACGCAGATTAGGGTTTGATCGTCGGTCCAGGACATTCCGATGAGGCGGCCGCCGGAGTGGCGCCAGACGGTGTCAGCAAGGAGGTGGCCGGAGGAGGAGAAGAGGCGGAGCTTGCGGAGGGCGGACTCGGCGTGGAGCTGGACGATCTTGGAATCGTCGCGGATGACGGCGACCGGACCGCCGAAGGGAGCGGCGGCGATCTTGTTCCGGGCGAGGTCCACGTGTTTCCATCGCATTGGGTAGAGCTCTGGCTTACGGTAGTAGCGGTTGTAGAGGAGCTGCCACTCCGCGGCTACCGAGACGTTGGCCATTTCAGGATTTGGGTTGGGATTTGAAAACTCTTTAAAGGGGAAATTGGGAACTTGGAATCAAGTTGCAAGCATGAATCTCTTGTGTTGTGCGGGAATGGAAGCGAACATGATGATGAGAGGAAAGTTATGTGAAGGTACAATGACGAAGCAGGTTGATGTTAGATTGATTATTATTTTTGCAAGGGAAAAGCGTTTCTCCGCAAGTGAAACCAAATAACGTGGAACTCGAATAGGATTTTAAAAGATTTTTTTTTAGATAAAAAAATTTATAGATTTTAAAAGATTTTTTAGAAATTGATGTTTAAAAGATTTTTTTTATAATCAAAAATTTCATAAGATTAAATTTTAAATGATTTTAATAGAATTTATAAGATTTAAAATAACAATATGAATTTATAAGATTTTAAAAATTATATGAATTTTTAACAAATATTCAAAATTACATGAATAAGTAAAAAAATAACAAAGAAATGCAATGGTAATTTAGGGATGATAATAAGGTCAGAGGCCTGTCAGGGGCCTTAGGCCCGGCCTGTTTTGGTCTGGCCCGGCCCGTCTTTTTTAATTGTTGGGCTCAAATATAGACTCATATAAAAGCCTTTTTATTTAAAAGGCTTCAGGCCTCCATGGATAAGCCCGGCCTTGGAGCCTGAGAGGCTGGCCCATCTTTACATTAAATTTTTTTTTATTATTAATCATTCATTTCAACGTTACACTGACAGCGTCCCTCAGTTTCAACTTTCCTCTCTTGCCTGTGCACTTTCTCTCTCTCTCCAGTCTCCTCAACCAAGTTTATTTGAAATAATAGCATGACAAGACACCGAAGTCATTGTTTAAAATAATATATCATTTTCAAAGGGCAGTGCTTTAGCTGTATACTACAATAAAACAAAGACACCGAAGTTTATTGAGAAATGTGATATTTTCGTTGCTATATGGTATATTTTAATAGTTTGAATTTTTCACTGAACATATAAGAAACATGTTCAACTATAATGTAGACAAAAATTCTAGAAGAAAAAGCAAAGACATAAAGTAAAGGTCCTATTTGTTATTTTGACTTTTTAATATTAATATGTTTTTTTTATTATAAAAGAAACAATTATTTTTTCTTACAAAAAATACATATCAGTGCATGATTAATGGGCTAAATACTGTTGCAAATTGGAAGCTAAGGTTTTTATTTTTAATAAATAAACCAGGTCACAAGCTTAAGACAGGCTTTTATTTTTTATAAATAAATCAGGCCACAGGCCAATATTATATTCGTAACAGGTAACATGCATTAGCATTTTCTCATTCTTGGCCCGTTAAGATCAAAGCTCGGCTCGGCTCGGCCCGTTAACACCCCTAAATGATATTAATAAAAAAAAGTAAAACCTAATATAATTTTTTCAATCAGTAAAATATAATATAATTTTTTATCTAAAACTATATTAGTCTTCCATGCATTAGCATTTTCTCATTCCTGCTCTTGGGTTTGATCAATGGGTTGAAAATTATCTTCTTCATTTGGTATCATAGCTATGCATATATAATTATAAGACTCAATTTTTTATTTATTAAAATAATTCTAAATTTGCATATAGAACCTAAAGTTCATTACAAAATTTTGTTTGGAAATTTTTGCAATTGATCTTGAAAACTTTGGAGTTTTTGTTTTACGTGATGAGAGTTTTCTAACCATATATCATATCCATGTTTTCATTGAGTATTCTAAGAAAATATCGAATCTGAATTTCTGGATTTTATTACATGAAAGTTTGGAAAATTTCTCAAATTATTTTCAATCGATATATTGAAACCTTAAATTGCTTTGGGGCTTTTGAAAAACAAATCTTTAGTTATCTATTGACACAAAAATTGTTTGAAATTGTTTTCTATATCGAAGGAATTTTTTTCATGTATTGTTACAAAATATCGGGTTCATATTATGAAAGTTTCAATCTTTCTTTAAATTGATATTGTTTCATTGATAAAAAATGGTTTGAGGGTTTTAGTTCCCTTTTTGTTTTCCCATTGTTTTATGTTGTTTTTAATACAAAAAGCACACATTTTTGTGCCAAGAAAAATCCCGACATATAGCTTGAAAAATCATTTTTTAAACTTCCAAAAGCTCTCAAAAATCTGCTATTTTTGAGATGGATTATAATAGAATCTTGTTGGTTTGCTTTTTCTGGGTTGTTTTGTGATGAAAATCGCTCAAAAAGAGGGAGACTTATCAGAATTGCACTATTTTCCCTTCACCAACTTTTTATCCCACTGGTTTTTCTTGGGAAGGTTTTTAAGGCAATATTATTAACATATAATAAAGGGTGAACATCCAAGGAGGAGCTATGAAAATATTAATAAAGTAGATGTTCAACTTTCTAACCCCACATCTTCTCCCCATTTACCCTTACGTTTTCTTTCTTGTTTGTAAGTCTATTAGCAGTATCATACTCTTCTCCAACACGAAGATATTAGAATAATAATAATTCAGGATGTTTGATGTTTACTTGAACCGCACAAAGGTAGATCCCAATCATGATTTCGATCATAAGTGAAAGCACAACAAGCTGATATATGGGACTGAGATTCGTAGACTTTATCATCAGGGGGAGTAAAATATGTGTTGCACTCTTTTTTTCATTCACCAAGGTTTTATCCCATTGGGTTTTCCTAGTAAGATTTTTAATGAGACAACTTGTGGTACATATTGTTATAAGTGTATACTCTTTTTCATTCACTAGGATTTTTTTTTCCTCATGGTTTTTTCCTAGTTAGGTTTTAATGAGGTACATTATTTTAATGGACATCCAAGGGGGAGTGATGTAAAATATAACTATATGGATGTCTATAACCCCCAAAGGAATAATGTATAACTCTTGAAACGCCCATGAGTTATAAAAGTAATTAGGAGGATTTAACAGTGTCATTTATTCTATTATAACTCATTAATAGAGACCAGGTATAGATTTCGTAGATTGACAATATAACACAATGAAATGATCTTTCTTTCTCGTTGTCCTAGTTCTCTATTTTCCTTTATGTTCTTGTTATTCTTTTATTTTACAACATTTACAAAATTTTAAGTAACTTACAATTTTATTTTATTTTGAACGACAAGTAACTTACATTTTGACTTCTGACCGGTTAATATTTTTGTAACTTTTTTCATTTGATGGTGGAGTCAAAAGATTATGTGAGAAAGGGCGAGAAATTCAAGATTCATACTAATTTATATAGGGTAATATAGTAGTGGGTTGGTTCGTAACTATATTCGACGAGTTCTTTTAGGTAGTGTTTGGTAGGTGAATATATTTTATTTTCTTAGGAAAGTGGTAGTGGCAATATAATATTCTCATGTTTGGTACATCGACATCTAAAATTATCCTGGAAAACTTTTATTCCCGGGATTTCACATAACACATAAAAATGCCAACAAAGATGGCCATTGAAAATGTGGTATTTTAGGAATCCTTGTTGGTGGGAAAATGTTCAGTGAAATTTCAGACAAATCAATATCGTACCCTAGCTGGTCGACTAAAATATAACCTATTTGTTTCAACAGGAAGCCTTCGCTTAATATCTGAGACACAAAATCGATTGACTGGATATGTTATTATATTTGTTGGTTGGCATTGTTCTCATTAAGATAGTTGCATGGTGGGGCATAGGAGAAACAAAAATATAAAAATAAAAATTGGAACTCACTGAGAGAAAGACAGATCACAATGTAGAGAGCGTTTTTTTGCTTTAGAGATATAGAAAGAGAGAGAACGAGAGAGGGTGTTTGAGTTTGAACTTTGAAGTTGAAGTGAGAGAGAGAGAGAGAGAACGCAGAGAAAATACATATGTTGAATATCGGACAGGTAGAGAGAGAGGTGAGGGGGAAAAGAACGTTGTAATAAGAAGCAAAGAGCCTAGATATTTCAAATCTAGGGTAGTTTTGTAAATTTCGTCTACATTCCCAGCAATATTTTATTATCAACAAAAAATATAACAATCCTCATTAGTAAATTAAGGGAAAGGAATTAATTAGGTGGTTAACTAGATTAAATACTTATTCAATGAAATTGTGAGAGTTAAATTAATAGATTCAGGTGATAAATAATAAGAAATACAAGTCTAATAGGATTCAAATATAATTATTATATATAACTAAGAACATAAATATTTTTTTTTTTTTTTTGATAACAAGAACATAAATATTTATATGGAGTAAGTTTGTGTTTACCTTGGTAATTAGGCCTAAATATAATTTAGGTTGAATAATTAATTAGTTTAGAGAAATTAGAAAGTTCAAAGTATCTTTAAATTATTTAAATGATGCTTGGATTAATTATTAAAATTAAGGAAAAGATGGATTAATTATTAAGCAATAAGATGAGTTTTGATTAGTAAAAAGTCAAACAATATTCTTAGTCTTAATTATTTAAGTTGCAATGTTGTGTCTTCTTTAAATTGTCATGTACGTAACTTTAGTAAAAAAGATGAGAAAATTTGATAGAATTGAACCAATAAATATTTAAGATGATACTTGATTAGTCAAATGAAGAATTAAAGAACCAATAGTATTTAATGTTGACAAATCTATATTTGGTGGAATTGAGTACTTTATCACCAAGTTTCATTAAAAGTCATTCACCAAATTGTTGTAAGCTGCTTCATGAAGTTTTTATGCTTTCTTTTCTTTCTTATCACTTATGTGGGCCGTAGAGTTTAGGAAGAAAGCAACAAGCAAATAGTTTGGTTGTTTAAACCAATGAGAACGTGACACGTTAGTCAAAAAAATAAATAAATAAACTAAGACTACTTGACTTCAATTAGGCGGTCCCTTTTCCTTCGTTCTTTTTTTTTCACGCTGCACTCCCCCTTCTTTCTTCTTCCTTAGTTCATGATTTTCAATGGAGAAAGGGCAAGAGAGAACTTGATGGTTTAGTCACCATTTCATCTAGACTCCAACATAGAAAAGGTAGCTTAGCACCCTATCATCCTAACCCACCATTTTTCTAACTTTGGGAAGCTTTAAATCTCTTCTTTTCTCCTCTATACAGCAGCGCCTGCACTTGGAAAAGGGGGAGGAAATGGATTGATTTCATAGTTCTAAGCTTAGGGAAGTCATCACTAGTTCTTGGTTAGGTTA